GAACTAAGGTACTTCGAACTTCAGCTACGTTATTCACGTAGCTGAAGTTGCGTACCTTAGTTCGAATTAGGGGGGTAGTGTAGACCAAGCCTTAGTCTGTATGTCTAGGTGTCCGTACCATAACTGTGGCTTCTGGAAGTGCGCAGCCTTGTTTCACCTTGTAACTGGATCCTGTCTGCAATTGTTTTGACAGATCATCGCCCCCCCTGAACGTAAATACTCTGTCTGGATCGGAGGCTCCATCCTGGCCTCTCTCTCCACCTTCCAGCAGATGTGGATCAGCAAACCGGAATATGATGAGGCTGGCCCTTCCATTGTCCACAGGAAGTGCTTCTAAGGACAGAGCGCCCGTTCTTCAGGACCTCGGGTGCTTCCCGGTTCCTTCTCTCCCTTTGCAATTATTTCTAACCATTTAAAAAGCATTAAAACTTTTTTTTCACGCCTTCCCTGCATGTGGTGCTTTGTTCCCTGCCTTCCCGGCAGGCTGTGGGGCTGCACTTCAATGGGTGATCTTCTTTGTAGGATGGGGATGGGGGCGGGGGGTTTAAAGCTGCGATCAGAGAATAAGAATGGGTGAACAGCTGCAGGATCTAGCATCCTTGGTGCAGGCCAGAGCCCCAGTTCAGCTGCGCACAATTGCCTTGTAGCATTGTTTGTTTGTCTACCCCTTTGAAGAATTACCTGTTTATCATGACAATACTCCTTTCAAAATTGGCCCATGTCTCCCATTCAGCCTCTTGCTGATGAGGGTGTAATTTCCATATCAAAGTTTGCATGGGTGGCGGTGGGGGCGGGGATTCATAAGGGTCCTTCTAGGGCAGTGTTCCTCAACTAGGGGGGTAGGCCCACCTAGGAAGGAGGACAGAGACCAATTTGGGAGGTCATGGGCCAAAGGAAGTGGGAGGAGGGAAAACTGAATGAGTGATGGTACCCCTAACTTTCCCTCCCTCAGCACACTTACTGCTGCAGCAGCAAGTAAAACAAACTTCCTTAGGAGGATGTAGAAGAGCTACCAGGGAAGGGGATGGCAGGAAGATGCGGGGGGGGGGGGGTTGACACCAGGAAAAGTGGATGGGACTGGGAGGGTGGGGAGAGGGACCAAGGGAAGGGGAACAAGAAAGAAATGAGAATAAAAGGGAATTTAAAATATATTAGCTATACAGAGCAGCATAGCTGCTGGAAATGGGGGGAGTTGGGGGTGCTACCGCACCCCCTGGCTTGAAGTGGTTTCCATTTTATACAGGATTTACAGTTTGGTTCAATGGCTCTTAGCAACCCCACTATACAAATTGTTCCTGCACCCCTGCAGAGCAGAAAAAACAGGGACAAAAGGAGATGATGGGGGAGGGCGAGAAAGGACAGGAGAGCAAGCGAGTTCTATGTGTAAGCTCCTTCATTTTCATTTTAAACCGATTTTTACCGAAAAAATCCCGGGTTTTACAAAAAGGATTATTCTTTTCCCCCCCTGATTTTCACCCTACTTTTGTATCATGCAAATATATAAAAAAAACTTGTTTTATTAGGAAAATACAATGCAATGCATGTGACATATGTATTATGATAATACGTTAGTCTGTGTGTATATGCAAAGCAGCCTGTGGAAGTAAAGCTAGAAGAAGCACACAATAAACAAACAGGAACCCACGCAAGCCCTGAAGTGCCTGCACATCTGAACGTACTGATGAATCTCACGCCCACCACGGACACATTTCAAGTTGTTAGCAGGGAACGGTTTAAAGATCTGACCCACTAAAATGGGAAGAAAACGAAAATCTGTATCAGAATGCGTTTCAGCACACAAGGAAGTATTTGAAAGTTTTTAAAAAACAAAAACAGGAGACAAAGATTAAGTTGAGTGTATGTGCGGCAAATGTTGTGGCCCAGTTATTAAATGTAAATATTTATAGGCTAAGTCTACAGCAGTAAACTGTTTATTCAAATGAAAAGGCTTATTGGGGGATTAGAGAGATACTGTTTTCTTAAATTTGGAGGTGGCATTGTGTTTTGAGTTCTGTTTTAGTTCTGCAGCAAACCACATTAAATTCCATTCATCAAAGCATTAATTCACTGAATACTTTTCCCCCTGTCCTTCCATCCACCAAAATAAACCCTGATATTTACCCAGAAAAATGAATAGTTTTTTTCCACCGATTTTCACCTGTTTTTGTTGTTGTTGTAATAAACACTGATAAATTCCTGGGAAAAATTAAATAAAATAAAAACTGAAAACGAAGAGCCCTACCTATGTGCCATGCCCTTATGTTGAGGGTCCATAGCCCAGAGCACAGAAGAGACACCTAACAGGCCTGGTAGAAAATCTTCCCTCAAAACTTTTTGATGGGGAAACTTAGTTTTTGGCAAAACAAAACTTTTTGTGGATGGTGTCTACGGTCCTTATTTTTCTTTGGAGAAACCAAACGGCTGAAAATCTTCAGCTGAAAACATTTTGGAGTTCAGCAATTTTTTGTTGTTGAAATTTTCCACTGAAACACCTTCTCCCTCCCCACTCCCATGTTCCAATCAGCTCTAGCACCTAGAAGGGGCCCAAGCAAAGAAAGAGCTGGGAACCTCCGCTCTAGGGAGCAATATTTGAAGCAGGTGCTGTCTGAACTTCCTAGGGCAGCGCTTGGGCTAGTGTAAATGGACACTGCTCCATTACACTGACCAAACAGAGTGCAAAAGCTCTTCAGGTAGGAAGGTAGGGTTGCCAGGTGTCCGGTTTTCAACCGGAACGCCCGGTTGAAAAGGGACCCTGGCGGCTCTGGTCAGCACTGCCGACCGGGCCATCAAAAGTCCGGTCGGCCGCGCAGCGGGGGTCTGGGGCTAAGGCAGACTCCGTGCCTGCCCTAGGTCCGCACGGATCCTGGAAGCAGCCAACAGGTCCTTGCAGCCCCTAAGTGCACGGGCAGCCAGAGAGGCTCTGCGTGCTGCCTCCACCCCAAGTGCTGGCTCCGCAGCTCCCATTGGATGGAAACTGCGACCAATGGGAGCTGCAGGGGCAGCGCCTGCGGGCTCGAGGGCAGTGCGCAGAGCCACCCTGACTGCCCATGTGCCTAGGGCAGGGGTGGGCAAACTACGCTTCCGGCCCGTCAGATGTTTTTATCCTGCCCTCAAGCTCCCGCCAAGGAGCAGGGTCAGGGGTTTGCCCTGCTCCGCCCGGCGCTCCCCAGCCCCGACTCACAATTCCCTTTATGAGCTCCATCTTCTGGTACGCAGAGCCAAACTGTGCAAACTGTGACATCACCGCGCTGTTTCTGGGATTGGAACCCTGCCCCTACGCGGCAGACCCCCCCACACACTACGCGGCAGCACGCCCAATCCCCTCGCTGTCTCCTATGGCCCCACCCTTGAAAGCCTCGAAATCGCCCACGGGCCGCTCCCGTCCCAGCTAGGGTGACTCCGCCCGTTGTGGTGCCTGGTACGGCCGCCTTGGTGTCACTGCTGGCAGGGCCCCTAGGAGTCCCCAGTACCACCCCATAGAACCCCCCCTCCCCTGCGCCACACCCCATGAGTCTTCCTTCTTCCCACTTCAGTAACATCCCTTATACAACTCCCCCATGCTACACCCTATAGAGTTCCCCTCCATCACCGGGCATTCAGAGCCTGCCATACAATTTCCTTACCCAGATGTGGCCCTCAGGCCAAAAAGTTTGCCCACCCCTGGTCTAGGGGCTGCAGGGACCTGGTGGCTGCTTCCTGGGAGCTTCTGCCACTCCGACCCAGAACCACCTCTCACACCACAATCCCCTACCCTAGTCCAGAGTCCTCTCCTGCACCCCAACTTCTGGACCTTACACCCCCCCAACAACCCAAGCCCCTGCCCCAGCCCTGAGCCCGCTTCTGCACCCCAGACCCCTCATCCCTGGCCCCATCCCAGATCCCACATCCCCAGCCAGAGTCCTCACCCCCCCCACACACCCCAACCACCTGGCCCAGCCCAGAGCCCTCTCCTCACCCTGAACCCCTCATTTCTGCCCCCACCCGGAGCCCACACCCCTAGCCCAGAGCCCATACCCCCTAACACCCCAACCCCTTTCCCAAGCCCTGAGCCCCCTCCTGCACCCCAAACCTCTCATCCCTGGCCCCACCCCAGAGCCTGCACCCCCCCAGTGAAAGTGAGTGAGGGTGTGGGAAAGTGAGCTAGGGAGCGAGGGAGGGGGAATGGAATGAATGGGGGCGGGGCCTCAGAGAAGGGATGGGGCGGGGCTTCAGGGCAGGGGTGTTCAGTTTTGTGTGATTAGAAAGTTGGCAAACCTATAGGAAGGCCTGGGAGAGACGCAAGCAGGGGGACAAAAAAAAGGGACTGCAAATCTTTGCAGGCCGTCCTGGGAGAACCCTGAACAAGCCAGGGAAAGACTGCAAAGTATTCCAGGCAGACAGGCCTGGGAGTAGGAAGAGAGATGTTTGTTTGTTGGATTTTAATTGGAGATTTTGAAGTAATTTTCTGTGAATAATCCCAAGCCCCAAGGAGGACCTGAGTAAGGGGTCCTGAAGAGGGGGAAAGAGAGGCAGGGTACTGCAGAGTGACCTCTGGCCATGAGGGGGTGATCAGGTGGTGACTGGCTTTGTTACAGATGGCAATACCTTTGTTCTTGTTAATATATCGCTACCCAGTTGGGATCAAGTGGGTAACAAATACTCCCATGTGAGTCATGCCAGATTTCTTTTCTGGAGCGGAGAGGTAGCATCTGATCTCAGATACAATAATCCTAGAATTAAGGTGTGGGCACTCTGAAATGGATTTAATTTACATTGTTAAGGAGTTGATTTAAACTTCATGATATAAATACAGCCCAGGTTTAAATTGGTTTTAACACCTTGTCTTATTAGGAAAAAGTCTGAGTTTAGGTGGTGTTTAGGTAGCACATGCTAGCTAAACCCCACCTACATTTAGGCCTTGTCTTCAGAGAATCATAGAAGATTAGGGTTGGAAGAGACCTCAGGAGGTCATCTAGTCCAACCCCCTGCTCAAAGCAGGGCCAACACCAACTAAATCATCCCAGCCAGGCCTTTGTCAAGCCGGGCCTTAAAAACCTCTAAGGATGGAGATTCCACCACCAGGGCCAGCTTCAGGGTTTTGGCCGTCCCAAGCAGCCAAACAAAACCAAACCAAAACAAAAAAAGCCACGATCGCGATCTGTGGCGGCAATTCGGTGGGAGGTCCTTCGCGCCGAACAGGAGTGAGGGACCGTCTGCCGAATTGCCGCCGAATCACTGGACCTGCCGCCCCTCTCCGGAGCGGCCGCCCCAAGCACCTGCTTGGTAAGCTGGTGCCTGGAGCCGGCCCTGTCCATCACCTCCCTAGGTAGGTGAGGCATTCCAGTGCTTCACCACAGGGCTGCTGAGAGCAGGTTCAAATCCCGGTGAAATTTTTTTTTCAGGCCCCCCAGCAAGGACGGACCGGCTAAACAGGGCCGACGAAGCCGGGCCCTGGGCCCCCTTTCGGAACACCGGGCCCCGGTAATTTGTACCGGCTTCCCTCCCCTCTCGTTGGACCTGCTTCACCAACCTCCTAGTGAAATAGTGTTTCCTAATATCCAACCTAAACCTCCTGCACTGTAGCTTGAGACCATTGCTTCTTGTTCTGTGATCTGGTACCACTGAGAACAGCCGAGCTCCATCCTCTTTGGAACCCCCTTTAGGTAGTTGAAGGCTGCTATCAAATCCCCCCTCATTCTTCTCTTCTGCAGACTAAACAAGCCCAGTTCCCTCAGCCTCTCCGAATAGAGGAGAATAATAACTTCCCTCGATCTGCTGGCTGGCAATGCTCCTACTAATGCAGCCCAATACACCGTTAGCCTTCTTGGCAATGAGGGCACACTGCTGACTCATATCCAGCTTCTCGTCCACCGTAATCCCTAGGTCCTTTTCTGCAGAACTGCTGCTTAGCCAGTCGGTCTCCAGCCTGTAGCAGTGCACGGGATTCTTCCTTCCTAAGTGCTGGACTCTGCACTTGTCGTTGTTGAACCTCATCAGATTTCTTTTGGACCAATCCTTCAAAATTTGTCTAGTTCTTGACTAAGAAAAGGTGTCAAGGGCTTGTCTACACAGGAAATTATATTTATGATGGCAGAATTATACCAGTATACTGGAATTATAGGTTTCAGAGTGGTAGCTGTGTTAGTTTGTATCAGCAAAGAGAACACACAACAAAAACACTAACCCAGGAACCTATCCTTGCAACAAAGCCTGTTGCCAACGCTGTCCACAGATCTATTCAGGGGACACTATCATAGGACCTAATCATATGAGCCACACCATCAGAGGCTCGTTCATCTGCACATCTACCAGTGTGATATATGCCATCATGTGCCAGCAATTGCCCCTCTGCCACGTACATTGACCAAATCGGACAGTCTCTACGCAAAAGAATAAATGGACACAAATTAGACATCAAGAATTATAACATTCAAAAACCAGTCGGAGAACACTTCAATCTCCCTGGTCACTTGATTACAGACCTCAAAATCGCAATACTCCAACAAAAAAACTTCAAAAACAAGAAACTGCAAATTGGAATTAATTTGCAAACTTGACACCATTAAATAAGGCTTGAATAAAGACTGGGAGTGGATGGGTCATTACACAAAGTAAAACCTATTTCCCCATGCTAATTTTCCCCCCTACTGTTACTCACACCTTCTTGTCAACTGTTGGAAATGGGCCATCCTGATTATCACTACAAAAGTTTTTTTTTTCTCCTGCTGATAATAGCCCACCTTAACTGATTACTCTCGTTATAGCTGGTATGGCAACACTCATTTTTTCATGTCCTCTGTGTATATATATCTTCCTACTGTATTCTCCACTGCAATCATCTGATGAAGTGGGTTTTAGCTCGCGAAAGTTTATGCCCAAATAAATTTGTTAGTATCTAAGGTGCAACAAGTACTCCTCCTTCTTTTTGGAATTATAGGGAAGCTGTATAATCTAAACTGGAATAAGAGTGTCCACATGGAGAGTTACATTCAGATAATTATGTTGGTAAAATTGTATTGGAACAGTGCACAAATCAGCATATCATTATAATGAAATCTAGCTGTATCAACATATCATTATAACTGAAATGTGCATAAATCGGCATAGTTTTCAGACAGGTTCATCTGCCTAAATCGGCTAGAATCTGCAAACTTAGCATATTATTATAATAAATGCTCCCTAGATCACTATCGTAGATGTGCATAAATCAGCCTATCATTATAATAGCAACCAGCATCAATATGCATACCATAATCAAATCGATGTCAGTATATCAGTACCATGAAAATCTGCATAAATCAGCATATTATTATACTGGCAATCGGCATACGGCCGCATATCGTTATCATACATTGATCTACGTCTGCATATGACTACAACGGCAAGCTGCATACGTCAGCATATTATAATAGCATCTGCATAAATCAGCATACCGCCAGAAACGCGACCTACGTCAGCATGTGAACGCGGCGGTCCAACCCGCGCGGCGCCGCCGCCGGAGAGGCACATAAATTAGCATATGATTTGCATCTCGTTCAGGGTCCGGGCCCGGGCCTGGCTGGCGCGGGATGAGGCCGCTGTTGCCCCTGAGGCTCCGGCGGGCGGCGGCCGGGGGGCTCCCGCGCTGCTTCGGCATGGCCCGGCGCGGGGGTCCCGCCTGGCGGCTCTCCATCGAGGGCAACATCGGTACGGGCGGGGGGCGCTGCGTTAAGAGGGGCGCCGTGAGGGGGCTGTGAAGAGAGAGCGGGAAGCTGGGTGAGGGGGCTGTGAGGAGAGGGGGTGCTGGGCAGGGGTGGGGGCTGTGAGGGGAGCGTGGGGGCTGT